GCAAAGTAATTCTTTGCTATAAGCAAATTGTGTAAAAAAAAAAAAAAAAAAAGTTTTTTTCCCCAAAGTAGTACAATGTTACTATGATCCCTTCAGATGAAGTCCGGAAGTGACGAAACGCGTTAGGGGAGTGACGTCATCACGCACGCACGCTTACCGGAGGTGTCGCCGCGGCCATTTTGTTGGTTGGAAACATATGGTTTTCAACCGAGGACTAGAGAGATCAGTGCTGGAAGCTGGATATCCCTATTTTATATGTGAGTTATTATTAAAATCTGTTCCTTTTTATGGATCCTGCCTAAAAGAGCCTTTTTTTACTTCTATGGAAAATACCCCTGAAAAAGAAGGATTGAGAAATACGGGTTTTCTATGTCAGCTTTGTGCCTGAAAACAGTGGAAGAGGGTAATAGTACTTGGTATCACTTTTGGCTGGAGTTTAAAGGGTACTAGTACTTAGTATCACTATTCACTTATGGTTGGAGTGATCACGATTTTTCACGTTTTGGGGTTTTTAAATTTTTGTTGTATTTGGATGGATATATAATTAATTCAATCTGCACAATTTTGATTTGTTTTGTGTTGCGCACTGAGTGAAGTATATAAATTTATATTATAAAGATAATGCACTATGAATTTTTCCTTTTTCTTTGAGGTTACCATGGAGTATTTAAAATCGTTTCTTGCTTCACTGAATATATAAGAAATATTTTTGGAAATATTTTTGAACTTGGACACTTTGGGGTTTATTAATATATTTTTTTATATTTTTTTCATATATATTTTTTTCATATATTTTTTTCATATATTTTATATTTTATTCATTTGGTACTATGTGTGGTTTTATTTGACACATTTTGATATAGATTATAAAAGTATAGTAGTTGGAGTTAATTTGGGGGATTTATATGTTTATCACAAAAAAGGATTTATCAGATTATACTACTTTGGTCATAGTGCAATATGAAAAAAAAAAAACTTAAAAAAAAATGAAAAATGTAACTGTCATGCCAGTTATATGATGATGCTGTACTGCACTGGTGACAGTATGTAAAAAAAAAATTGTGAATATCATTTTTTTAATTTCTTCATTTTCTGAAAAATTATGACAAAAAAATTACAACTTCAAAAAACTTGCCATGCCTGTTATGAAATACGTTGGACTGTCTACTTTGCAAAAAGGGGACCTCAAGAAATTAGACTGGCCGTCAGTTCTTCAGGATTGATCAATTTTCAAATATATCCCATAGTTTGTGAGCTCAATAACTTTCCTACAAACTAAATAATAAATCTAATTTGGGTTATTTTCACCAAAGAAATGTAGCAGAATACATCTTGACCTAAATTTATGAAGAACAATTATTTATTTGCAAAATTTTATAAACAGAAACAAAAAAAAACGTGGGTTTTTGTTTCAAAATTTTAGGTCTTTTTTTGTTAATTTAGCAAAAAATAAAAACCCCAGTGGTGATTAAATACCACCAACAGAAAGCTCTAGTTGTGTGAAAAAAATTATAAAATTTGAGTTTGGTTACAGTGTTGTATGACCACGCAATTGTCATTCACAGTGTGAGAGCGCTGAAACCTGAAAATTGGCCTGGGCAAGAAGTGACCTGTATGGAAGTGGTTAAAGGAGATATGATTATAATGCAGAAATAAATCAAGGGTGGCTTCATTAACTGTAATAAACTGTTTACTCTAAGGTATCTGAGGAGGACACATTACCATAATTTGAGGTGAGAAGAAAGGAGGTTTAACTTTAGATTGTAGAAAAGGTTCTTTACTGTTAGATCAGTAGAAATATGAAATTCCTTCCCCCAGGATGCGGTACTATCTGGAAAGAGGAAACTTTTTTAAACTAAAATAGTATAAATGTATAATAAAAACAAATTGTTTTAAGTCTGAAAAGAATAAGGAACAAAATCTCCTGTCAAGATTTTTGGTTGCGGTTTATTTCCTATTGAGATTTTTCTTTACTTCTAAGCTTCCCAGTGGGGACACAGATGGCTCCAACAGAGAGCAAATAATTTTGGTTTTAGACATACTTTTACAAATTAGAAATAGTTAAATGTTTCAGAACTGTTCAAATTATATACTGGTATATCATTCCAATGTGAGAATCCCAGACTTCAACTGCATACAGCTCTATAAAATTATTTTTGGCAAATACTTATCACGCTAAATCCTACTTTAAAGTCAGTACAGAAAATGTTTCCTAATAAAAACCGCATAATCCTTTTATTACCCAGTTTTATATATCTGAATTATAGCCTTTAAAAAAGGAACACAGTGGATTTAGAAAGTTCTAATGATACTGTTTTAAAGTATTGTACCAGATGTTGCTTATAAGCTGCATTAGCCTTTTTGTGACAATGGGTCATTGATGCCTAGTTACTTAACCAAAATTTAGCAGCATCAGCATGTGTCAGTTAACATAAAAATAACTAATTTGTGCACCTTAATGAGTTTTATACTTTTTTTAAGGACATATACTTTTTTTTTTTTTTGGTATACTGTACGTAGGAGCCCTGCACTACAGTCTGCTTCTTAAAAAAAAATCACTAAGCTAACCTGCACAATCAGTGTGCAGGTTACTGGCAAAATGTGGACCCAGAGTTGGAGACTTCATTTCACCCAGGACTCTAGAAAGCCTCCAGGCTCCATGACCCATAACAGGTGTAAGCAGATTCAGGTGGGGACAAAGGAGAAGTGTGCACTCATGCCCAAAACACAAACCTCTGCCAGTGACACTCTCATCTGTATTAGTCTTTTTACTCCTTTCCTTCACACAGTCATATCCTCCACTCAGACATGACACAGTAACATACAGATAAACAGCAGGAAGCTAAAAACTGTACTCCACCCGTACAGGGCTGGTGCTACACTATTTTGTACCCCAGGCAAGACCAGCTATTTGTGCCCCCCCCCCCCCAATAAATAAATAACAATTTAAAAACAGTAGAAAATATTAAAACAACAAAACATGAAACTGCTACATTTCTTTTAATTTGCAAAAATCAGTTCCATAAAACTCCACCAGCACCAATATTAAAGACAAAATCAGTGTTACAGACGAACTGTATCTGTGGCTGGCAGTGGCAGGGTGACAGTTGCAGTGAGTGGAGGATGACAGATCCCAGGCTGGAATTCCCCAGGCAATGGGGGGGAGATAAAACGCTGTGACAGTAGGCAGCTGGACTGAGCGATCCCACACAGTGACAGATTCGACACAACACACCACCACCAACACTGACACAGATCAGCAGACCCAGCAGGCACTAGAAGAGCAAGCTGTGGGATTGTGATGATATCATCACCAGGGGCGGACTGACAACTCATGGGGCCCCTGGGCAATAGGGGATCATGGGACCCCTGTGTCCTTGCCCATACTCAAAAAAGCCTATGAAAAAAGTACCAGGGGCATCTCATGGGGCCCCCTACTGACCCCGGGCCCTTGGGCAGTGCCCGAGTTTCCAAATGGTCAGTCCGCCCCTGATCATCACTGACACATAGCACATGTGATGATATCCTGCCGGCCGAGACACACTCACACAGACACGAGACATCAAAGTAGACATTATCTTATTCCGCAGGCACAGCTCTGCCTCCGCTGATGAATGGGAAGAGAAGAGCTAATACTCCACAGTGATCAGCAGCCACCAGCCGGCTTGCAGTAAGGAACTGAGTTTGAGAGGAACACTGGAAGGAGTGACAGTTCAGCTGCTACAATGACTGCAGACACCCAGCATCCTCCTCTGTCTTTTCTTCCTCCCCTCTGCCATCCCTCCTCTCAGCTGAATGATCATTCATGACGTGGTGGCGTCCCACACAGAAAACGTCCCACACTAGGAGCGTGCTGGCCCTGTTGTTCCCAGGTGCCCCTAGGTGGCAGCACACCCCAGGCGGCCACCTAGTTTGCCTAGTGCACCCATGCTTTATTACCCCGAGGCTTCACCTACTCTTCCGTGACTTCTCAGGTCAGGTCCCTAGGACACCCCATACTGCAACTACATCCAATCTGGGTTATCAATTGCTAGGAAAGAAACCCAACCCCCCTTAACTACTGGGGACCTCCAGCACCTGCTGAGTCACCTCAGCTTCCTGGCTGGCTGGCTACTATCCATAATTAGACACATACTGTTGTCACTAGCAATGGGGACACAACCCTCCAAGGGCTAATTCAGTAGCTCTTGGGACACCTGTACTGTATCTTCTCCTTGCAATGTCTTTTCCTTTAGTATGAACTCATTATTTGATACACTATGCATGCACCCCTATGCATATTCCTGAGTAGACTTCAGACAAGGCAGATTTTGTTGATGGAACTTGCTCTACTGAAGGCACTTCTTCATTTACAGCTTCACATTCCATTACAGTTCCCATAGACATAATTCAATATTCAGTGAATCACTCTAGCCCTGGTGCTCCTGCCCATTAGATCATACCTTGTTAGCAATTAGTTAGTCTAGTCCAGGGGTAGGCAACCTGTGTCTCTCCAGCTGTTGCTGGACTACAAGTTCCATCATACCTCTGCAAGTAATAGCTGTGACTGTCAGTTTTGTAATGTTGCAATGCCTCATTGGAAATGTAGTTCCAAAACAGCTAGAAAGCCTACCCCTGGTCTAGTCTATCTGTACACAAAGTCCATGTTTGGGAACCCCAACTGGGCTCCCTCCAATGGGGTAGAGGAGAAAACAAAGTTCAATTATATGGAGGCACAAATCCCCCTTGTTCCTTCCCATAACTGAAGCAACTCCAACTAAGGTTGCCTCCAATTGTATTTATAATCCACTAGCAGGGGGCAGTATTATGTGATTTTTGGTAATAGTTCCAAAAATGGCATTGCCAGGGATAGTGCTTCTATAACATGGTATAAATATGCTATATACAATATGCTTCTGCTCTATCTTTTACCTTCACCACATCCAAATAAATTAAAATGTAAGTAAATAAACTTATTTCAATTTATTTTAGGACGCATTAAAAGGGGATAATGAATTAATACGATGGGAAACATTAATCAACAAAGGAAACCTCCATTAGATTCTGTCAGAGAAGATACAATTCCGATCATTCAGGAAGAACCTGTATGCGCCTCTAACAACAATACGGTGACACCACAAATGGGCTCCTCACTTAAACTCAATGAAGATAATGAAGAAGTGTTTTATAAATTTGTAATTCTTCATGCTGAAACAGATATAAATGAGGCCATGAGACTGAAGGATTTGTTGCAGGACACTTTCCATGTCAAGCCAGGACTTATATTCGCAGAAATGCCTGCAGGTCAGCATATACTGCAAACCCTGGACAATGCAGTGAATGGATCAGCCTGGACTATTCTATTGCTCACTGAGAACTTCCTCAAAGAAACTTGGTGTGAGTTCCAGTCCCATGCCACGTTAATCAACTCCATTAATATGCATCATAAATATAACACCATGATCCCTGTGAGACCGAAAGACAATTACCTGCCAAGAGACAAGACACCCTTTCCAATAAATCTTTTTAACGCTTTGGAAGAAAAGAGTCCAGAGTTCAATCTGTTAGTGGAAAGAACCTTCCAGGAGTCCATATATCAGAAGCATTATGCAACTTGGAAGGCTGAGAAAGAGAGAATGGAACAAAGAGAAATATAACATTGAAATATATATATATATATATATATATATATATATATATGAGATAACCTGGACACTAATCACTAATCGATGGAGGCTTTGGCAAACTCACATTGTATAAAGCTTGCCAAAAGAGAAAGGTTAAAGTTATAGAGGCTATTGTTATACTGTATAAACAAAGTGCATAATGTAATATATAAAGTTCTCTCATGAATATTGCAAATGGTATTTTTTTTTTTTTCTTGAATTGCTTGAAATACTTCTTAACAAGGCCAGTTCCTCAGTTTTACAATATTAGACCCCTTTCACATGAGGCAGATCCAGTTTGCTCAGCAGGTGATCTATCTGCTGATTCCCTGCTGAGTGGAGCAGAGCAGGCAGATGACAGGTCTGTATCTGCTCCATTTATGCAGATCGGACATGGCCAGAGCCCACTCTGCTGTATGGACAGTCTGGTGTAAACGGACTGGCTGTCCAATTACACCTGACTGCCCTCCAATCTGATCTGCTTAGATGGAGGTGAACGGATCTCCTTTGGGTTTTTTCAGTGGATTGGATTGGAGATAGGCAGGTACAAATGAACAAAAGTCTGTTTACACCCACCGGTCCATAGGAATACATGGGCCATCTGATCAGGTCTGCCTGAAAAATTGGCAGGTGGATCTGATCGGATTGCCCGTGTAAAAGGGGCCTTACAAGAACACATAGTAGCACACCCCGTAGACATAGAATAAGGTCTTCTTTCCACTATTTCTGCAAGTGCAAAATGTTCTAATGCCAGCTCATGAATCAGTTTGTTCTCTGGAAATCAGGGAAACCTTTTTAAAAGTGTACCTAAAGGGAAAGCTTTTTTCTTTAAGAGTAGTGAGAGGTTAGAACCTCTGTCAGGTATTTATTGTTGTCTGTGACATAAACTAGGGAGATTCTGTATTTGTTCTGGTGACCCATGAGAACACTGGGACTACAAGGACTGAAAAATACACATTTCTTAGTTTCCACCAAAACAATAACACAGTAAAACTTCCAATGAGGACACTTTTTCCAATGACAACTGTCTAAGGTCCTAATAACACTTATTCATGAAGCCAAATTCATGCCTGTTCCTGGATAAAAAAACAATCTCAAGTGTAAATCACACTCTTCCTTTAGGGCTGGTTCAGATTTCTGCACTGTGGTTTACTGTGAGAAGGAAATGGAAACTATATAGACCCAGCCACCTAATCTGCAATGCACATGAAACAGTGTAAATCCAGGGGAAAAAATGGAATTACCTGCACTTTGAAATACTTTTCCTGTTGTGTCTACAGGACAGGAAGTAAAGGGAAATCCCCACTTTTTAACACATACAGTATATCTAGAAAACATTATTTAAATTACTTGTACCTGCTACAGCTTTTTATATTTTTTTTTTCACTTCAGCAGAGCAGAACACTGAGGCTTTAAACCTTTATAGCTTCTGTATTATTGATTAGGCACTATTGGGCAAAACATATTGAAGCGGCAAGTCACTTGGTGGATATGAGTTAATGGAATAACACTTTTTAATCACTGTGTTGTTATTCATGTGCAGTCCTTTCTTTCCTGTATAACATCTGAGCCACATCCAAATATAACACATAGTGATGAATCATAATAGATTTACAAAAAGAATGGTAATCTGTGATATACTTCAAAGATTTAGTAAAATTCAGTAAAATCTAAAGTACTGAAAGCAGCATGTGACTCATGAGACACTGATTGCTGATCATTGGCTTTACGCATTTATGTGCCTATTACAAGCAAGAAACCCTACCAACCCACCTAAGTCTATCCATTTCAGAACTAGAGCTACAGTGTTTTTTTTAGTGCTGCAGACTAGACATTCTTGAGAAAGGTGGAATAAAAACAGTGTCTTGATCCATTTTTTTCCCCTCAATATCTTTTGAAGACAGCAAAAAGTGGGGCGTGCAATTTAAAGTTGCACAGTTATGCAGAAAATCCTCAGCTCCATGTAACCCCAAGCAACAAGTTTTAAATTATAACTCCATTCTAGACACTTGTCACTTCCAGGGCACACTCGTTTGTTAACTAGACACCTACTGCTACTGTAATTGGTGGTGAAAATGGCACATAGCATGCAAGCAGGCAATGTTTCCTATTAATCCCTCTTCATGTGCCCAGGCCACGTTAAGCTGAATTTGCTAATATTAAGCCATTCCATTTCACTGCTAATTTATCCATTATTGAAACTGTAACTTGAAAAGTCTGTTGAATCTTGGCAATAACTACCCTGCCTAATCTACTATGTTTGTCTCAGTTCCAAATGTTCAGCTCATGTTCAGCTGGTTGCTTGGCAGTTTGTGTTTTTGTTTTTCTGCTTTGCTCACCAGGCCTGCACTAGGTGTTCCCTGTCCAAGCTGTAGCCTATTTCGGGACATCTAAAAATATGGTGCAGCTTTCCTCTTCATTAGTTATGATTGGCCTAACAGAAGCCTTTGAGCAGGTCAGTAATACGCATTGCCCTTTATGTGCCATATGATGAATCTAATGCAGATATTCTGTATTCAGCTGACAGGTATGGAGATATCATTTGCTTTTGAGCTAACAATACCTATTTTTTTAACAGGTAGAACAACATGGTTTCTATTGTGACATATATGAATTTGTGGAAAAATAATAATGCTGCACATTTTTTTTGTAGTGACTGTCCTCAGACTGAGACAATGTCATCAAGGCAGAAGAAAATATTTCCTCAGCAGTCTCTTCTCTGGTAGAGATGAGCTTGGGAATCCTTCAAACTCATCTATTTTTAAAATGTATGTGCTTTTTCAAAGTTTGATCAGCTGCGGGCCAAGTCATTCTCTGTCCCACAGCATACATAAACAAAGAGGCAGGAGGCTGGTGGTATCCAATTAGACATGTGTGATTGTTTCATTATGAATCGGAATTCAGATTAAATTTACATTAATAACAACAGTAATGAATTTAAATGAATCAGAAATAAATTATAATGAATCAACAAAATTCATTTGTTTCATTTGGATGTCTGAAAGATCTGAAATAATGGATGATCCAAATTGATTAATTAATAACTGGTTGTTAAGGAGCGGACAGACGCCTCCTTAACAACCATGTCTCATTTGCTGTCAGCAAGATTCACCACTGTCAACAGAATGTAAACAAAAGAAGAGCTGGCATTACATTTTTTTTTTAATAAACAGCATGCCCCCTTCCTTCAATCCATACCAGGTTGTTTGGGTCTGGTATGAATTTGAAAGGAACCACACACCTAAATTTAAAAAAACAAGGTGTGGAGTCCCCCCCAAAATTCATACCAGACCCTTATCCGAGCATGCAGCATGGTAGTGTGAGATGGGGAAACAGCTCTCATTGTTTGAACACTGTTTGTCTGGAAGTAAATTAATGTTTTAACTGACATTCTGCAGTTTAGCCACAAGATGTCACTGTTTTTCTAACACAGCCTCAGACTGCATAGATATTTGTATATTCATGAAGAGGTGGGGTTTTGCACACAGAGTTGGAGAGAACATAAGGAGAGGGAGAAGCCATGTTTTGGAGCATGGTGAATGGGGGGCCGTGTGAGCTGAGAATCTGATGACATCCAGGTGTGGGGTCGTCCCTCAGTGGCCAGAGCTGCAGCTGAGTGAAGCTGATGAGATTGCTGCCAGGAATGCTGATGAGATTGCTGCCAGGAAGGCTGATGAGAGCAGAGGAACTAAGCAACATATACGGCAAGACCGCATGCTTGTTGGAGAGACATTTGTACTGTTCAGAGTCACCAGCGGATGCAAAGCAGACCCGGGTCGGTAAGATCGTGCATGCACCTCATTTCAGTGTTGGCGCCTTGAGACTGAGTCCAGGCCTATAGTTAGTTAGTTAGGGTCTCTGTTTGTGTAAGGCCACAAGTGTTGTTACAGATTATTGGAAGGACTCCACAACTTAGAGTGACATTTCACATTGGAGAGCTGATAAAATCCTACAAACACAAGCCAGACTGGCATTTTGCTCAGAAGGAATACTCAGGCACGTGCTACAGGACCAGTTATGGGAGGGGGAATACTGTAGATTTGTGTAAGATTGTAAGCTGTTGTGCTGCACCGCAGGCTAGCCCATACCATACACTGATTCCTGCTCTTTTAGGGTAATAACAGGTAAGGTGTGGCAGCTTATTTGTGCCCGCCAGTAGGTAAATTACTTCACTTTCTACCTTCATCCATCAGAAGGCGCCATGCTGTGCAGCACAAGGGTCTCAGCCTTTGGGCTGGGTGTATGTAAATTTTGTATGTTCTCAGCATTTGTGGTTGTGTTTATTTGCCACATCTAAGTAAAATTCTGTTGTGGCAAAAGTTGGTGTTGGGGTTGCTTTCCTCGTTCATGACTTCACTGTATCCTTTGGAGCCTACCCCGGTACATTGCTTACAGTAGGCCAGGAAAGAGGGGGATGAGTGTGTTCCCCCCTCCTGAATCATACCAGGCCACAAGCCCTCAACATGGGGGTGGGTGCTTTGGAGGAGGGGGGCTTCCCTCCCCCCAAAGCAATGTGTCCCCATGTTGATGAGGACAAGGGCTCTTCCCCACAACCCTGGCCTGGTGGTTGTGGGGGTGCATATCGGGATCTGGAATCTGGTCCCCAGATCCCACCACATAACCCATTAGTGAATGAATAAGGTGTATATAGTACCCATACTCTTTCACCAAAAAAATATATATATTTATCTATATATATATATATATATATATATATATATATATAAACATGCCCCCTAGTGTAGATCCAGCATCAATCACAATGAACGTGACCCTTACAAAAAACTAAAATATCCAGCCACCTGCCACATATGACCTGTCTTGTCGAGAGACACTGAGCGAATGACAGCTGATTATCCCCCTTGCTAAGTACACATGGGGGCAGGGATGCAGAGGTGCAACAAGTGCAGGATTCTGTGTTTTGTGCAAATGTCTCTGAACGCATACAGCCCTAAGTACGACTCAAAAGAGCATCCAACTGCTGCATATTT